AAACCTAAAATGCAATAAAATAAATAAATGGAAAAAAAAAGAAATATGTTTTGTTTGTTTGTTTGTTTGTTTATTTTGAGATGGAGTTTCGCTCTTGATGCCCAGGTTGCAGTGCAATGGCGCAGACTTGGCTCACTGCAACCTCCGCCTCCCTGGTTCAACCAAATCTGCTTGAGTAGCTGGGATTACAGGCAGCCACCACCATGCCTGGCTAATTTTTGTATTTTTAGTAGAGACAAGGTTTCACCATGTTGGCCAGGCTGGCTCCAACTCCTGGCATCAGGTGATCCGCCTGCCTCAGCCTGCCAAAGTGCTGGGATGGCAGGCATGAGCCACTGCGCCGGGCCAGAAATATGTTTTGTTTCCAAAGCCAGAGCAGGAAACTCAGGCTACTTTGGAATATTTTTTCAAGTAAAGCAATTGTGAGTTTTAAAGTATTCTTCAAAATATTTTAAGTTTCTATAAGTTCTAAATTTTCTTTTGTGGAGGAATGGACATAATGTGTTAGGGAATAAGGAGGAAAGAAAATTTCCTGGGAACAGCTTTTCTCTCCTGAACCTGTTTGCCTGATTCACCAAACTGTCTTAATGTTGCATGAAACACAATCAAGACCTCTGTACAGCTCAGCCAGGTTTTCTAGTTGGAGTCTGTGATGGGCATAAATATTTAGATTTAACATACTATCTTTTGCAAATGCAAAGAATGGCAATGACCATATTAATAAGAGATAACTGCTAGGAATTTTACACATATTCAGGATTACATGGACAATATTTTATATGCTAACCCTTTTTATCTTGTCAAGCAAATTTTATGCATATACAAATAACATTTTCCTATCATTTCCTACAAGAAAAGGATCTCTTTTCTTATACTATGGATAACTTTTCCTATAAAAATTAACTGCATGGAGAACCCAAGGCAACCTTTTTCAACTTATTATATCACAATGGAATTTAAAAAGACGTATATTACAGTATTTTTTATCAGAAATAAAGGACAATTTCCATATAGTAAAATAACAATTTTTCTCAACTTGAGGAATCCGGTTATCAAAGAACCAAGAATCTAGTGAGCCATGAACAAAACATATAAATATCTGAAAATAGGTAATTAGATCTATCTAAAACATTACATAGTTTAAAAAATTACATTCTAAGCTAGGCATGGTGGCTCACACCTATAATTCCAACACTTTGGGAGGCCCGAGGTGAGTAGATCACAAGGTCAGGAGTTCAAGATCAGCCTGGCCAAGATGTTGAAACCCCGTCTCTACTAAAAATACAAAAATTAGCTGCGTATGGTGGCAGGCGCCTATAATCCCAGCTACTTGAGAGGCTGAGGCAGGGAATCGCTTGAACCAGGAGATGGAGGTTGCAGTGAGCCGAGATTGTGCCACTGCCCTCCAGCCTGGGAGATAAAGACTCTGTCAAAAAAAAAAAAATGCATTCTAGATGATATTCAGGATTTTTAAGTATACCATGACCTCAGACAGATATGAACTATAGTTCACTTTCTTATTCAGTCTCATCTTTTTTTTTTTTTTTTTTGAGACGGAGTTTCCCTCTTGTTACCCAGGCTGGAGTGCAATGGCACGATCTCGGCTCACCCCAACCTCCGCCTCCTGGGTTCAGGCAATTCTCCTGCCTCAGCCTCTTGAGTAGCTGGGATTACAGGCACGCACCACCATGCCCAGCTAATGTTTTGTATTTTTTTAGTAGAGACGGGGTTTCACCATGTTGACCAGGATGGTCTCGATCTCTTGACCTCGTGATCCACCAGCCTCGGCCTGCCAAAGTGCTGGGATTACAGGCTTGAGCCACCGCTCCCGGCCCTTCAGTCTCATCTTTAAGTTGCCTCCCAAATGTAAAATTTAATTGAACACTTATCAATTCATTTTTTGTAATTATTTATATCTGCTGATATGGAGAGCACAGATTTCCAATGTCTGCATTTCCACAATTTATTCTTAGCTTCCTCTCCAGCTTTTCATTTTTCTTTTTTAATAGCAGCAATAACAACTAGGATAACTAGTATTGTGATACGTATATATGTCCGTGGGTACACACACAGTGTCATAACATGTTTCTATTCACAAACTTTTTTGTGTATATATATATATATATATATATAAAATATATATTTCCTGCCCTTTTTTTCACTAGACATCTAAAATTCTCTTGAATGTCAAAGACTGATTTAACAAATTACTATTTACTGCACACTAGAGCTCCATCTCATAGTGAAACATGCTTTGAGTTCATTTAAATGAGACAATGCTTTTACTCAGTCTGGAGAGGATATACTATCATGGAAAGCAGCCAATTGGTTCTGCCAGAATTCTATCTCCAAAATCATTGGAAAATTCTCACATAAAGATACCAGTATCCCCGGTAAGGACAATGATGACCTGGCTTAAAAAAAATGCTAGCTGTGATTGGTCAGATTTGGAATAGATCAAGCTGTTTACAAATTGTTCTACTAATATATCTTCCATGAGTATAATTGGGAAGGAAGTTACGCAGGCTAATAGAAGTTTCCAGGATTTCCCTGTTCCCCTTTGTTTGGCCTTTGCCTCCATATTTATTTATTTTTTTAGTTGCTCTGACACCTGCCTAAGATTTCTTTTTAAATGTAATTTAAAATTCTCGATGTAAAAATCTTGGGTTGTTAGATTTGCTTTTAATTCCCTTTTTAAATTTACTACTCTGTGTCAAAATAAAATGAAATTATACAGCATTATATTTATGAAGTCTTTTATATTTTATTATCTCACCCTAGGATTTACCTCTGTTCTTCTTTCTGTAGTTCAAGATAATTACACTCTTTTATTCTTCACATTCTCTCCCTTTTCTAGTCTAAAAGAATGATGCTTTTTCTTAAGTGGTTCACGAAATAATCACCCATTCTTTACTATCATTATTTAATAACAATAATTTCTATTTTTGCAACACTTAATATATACAAAGCTAAATGCTTTGTGTTACTTCCTTCAACCTTCAAAGGAACTCTTTCGTGTAGGTGCTGTTTTAGGATGGGAACTCTGTGGCACGTAGCCTAAGTCATCCACCCCCCATTTTCGGTTGCTCTCCAGTTCACCTATTCATTGGCTCAATTTTTGCCAAAGCTCCCTTCTAAACAATGATTCTCAACCTCTGCAGCTGTCTGGAGCTCCTTTTCCTTTGCTGGCTGTCCTCTTTTTCCTGCACTGAATTTTCCTGACATGATTCTGTAGTTATGCTTAGTTCCTTCCAAATTCCCTTTCCACTTAACTGATGAGGTCTTTTTTTCACCTCATACATCCCCAGCATTATCTGGGAGTTCACACTAAATCTGGAAGTATAAAAAACCCGGTTTACAGGTGTGCTATTAGATCACAAGATAACTGGAAGCTGGGAAATTAGTCATAATGAGTGTTTCTGTCAGTAGAGGGCAGGAAAGCATGTTCCCTCTGTCATGGTCACATTGAGTACAACCGCCTGGAATTCTTGCTGGGACACAAGGCAAAAACAACCAATTGTTATTTGATTCATCCTTTTGGTCAACTAGAGTTGTATTCCGTTGAAAATGTTTGTTATGTATGAGTCTTCCCTCTTGTTTGGTAAATGGTGGGAATAGGGTGAAGAGAGGGGAAGTAAGTTCATTTTGTTGTCTTTCCCTTCCTCCAAACCTGGTGTGAAATTCCTCTTGGCATACTCTCTAAAGTTTGGCTCCAGTAGCACACACAATGACACATAGTGTATACAGGAAGCAAAATTCAACAGAGCACCTTTGGCTACCACCCATGCTTATACAAAGGAGGAAATGGGTCATTATCCCACTCTCTACTTGCTGAACTTTGGCTACCATTGCTGTGAGGACAATATTTATCCTCATCTCACTTCATTCAAACTACTGTGTTGTTTTCAAGGCACAGTGTGAGGCAACAAGAACAAGACCCAAGCAAAACAAAAACCTTACCTACCACAGCCAGACAGCTAGTAAGATAAGAGAAAATAACTTTACTAAATTGGTATACTTAAACCCTGGTGGCATTTAGAGACAAGGTAATTGTAATATAGGAGTGAATAACCCACCAAAGTTACTCCCTCGAGGCGTTTTAAGTTTCTCACATCCTAGCATTTATAAGGGGAAAAGACATTAGGGGTTGTCCAATTCTTAGACAGTTTCTCGATTTTACAGATGTTCAGAATACAGAAGTACAGAAATTCAGATTCAAAAAGATGAAATCCATTCCTCAGTGCTATGTAGCTAATAAGAGACAGAAACAAGACATGTACCAGGGTCTCCAGATGCTGAGACTAACATCGTACACATGTCTTCCATGCTTCCATGTTGTTCTCCACAGTAAGTGACAGGCAGTCTGATTAGCTGTGGGATGTAGTCACCTTTTGCTTATCCACGTTTAACATATCCCATTTGTAAATTTTCTACCACAAAATTCTAATCCTGTGCTAATCTCCATGATGGAGCACACGTCATAACATCTCCAACTCCATTTATACAAAATATTATAATTAATATATTCCTTCAGCAGAAGTACAGAAGGATTATTTCTGTCTGGAGGAAATTGAAGAAGCTCTCATGGAGTCTTCAGCTCAGGATTCAAGAAGAGAGGAAGTTTAATAGAATAAGAAAGAAGGGAAACATGAACTGAGTCAATATTTTGTGTGCTTAAAGTCTAGGATGATGGCTGGCCCACTGTAGGTGTTAATTGGTAAAAGGCAGGGTTGTAAAAAACTACGTTACTGGAAGAAGGGGAGGAAGCGGGAGAGATACAGATAGAGATAGGATTACTCAAGGGGGTGGGGGAAGAGAGAACGTATGAGAGAGAGAGAGACAGAGACAGAGACAGAAAGGAGAGAGAGGAGGAGGAGATACTAGGGAGAAGAGAGGGAGGAGGAATTCACTGAAGAAAGAAGACAAGAGAAACAACAAAAAATTCAGACTTGTGGGAGAGGGAAAAAGCAACTATTTCTTTTTGTTTGTTTGTTGTTTTTATAATGTTTTATTATAAAAGTAATATACAATCTTTATAGAAAAATAAAGAAGATAAAAATCATCAATAATTTTATCACCCAGATACAATCATTTTTAATCTGTTGGTAGAGGTGAGTCTGTTTTAACATTTGTGAAATCATATAGATTTACATGATTGTTCTCACATCACCTGTAAGATAAGCATTTCCCATGTTGCTACAATCTGTTAATAGCAGTGGTTTGATTAATCGTATTGGCTATGTGGATGTGGAACAGAAGGGTTTGGATGTCAAGAAGGGCTGAAACACAGAAGGTGCAGCTGGTCATCTGTAACCATATTGTCTGTGACTTTCAGGACAGGGAGCTTCGGGACTCAGGTAGATGACTCTGGAAGAGTCCCTCTCTTTTGGAATGGCAGCATCTCTTTATCCTCCCTAAGGGTAATTTAGGCCAGGAAATACCAGATCTTCCCCTCTCTGATTTTCTTCTCAAATACCAGGGCAAGACAATGGAGACTAAATACGGTTCTGGTCATCGGGCTCTATTAATTAATTCTTCCAGAGCAACTGGGATGCATGAGAAGTGAATAGGTGATTGTGTTCTCAGCCCCAACTTTGTCAGCCTCGTCAGGATTAGTGATTGGCTGAAATCCGCTTTTTCCTGCAGCAGATCAAGGCCACTACAGCAGCAACAATGGCCGCTATAGCAATCCCAGTGACCACGGCCACAATGATTCCCATCCACGAAGAGCTCATGCTGGGCACTTGGACAGTGATGGTCACAGGCTTGGAAGAGCGCAGCGTGTGGCCTAGGCTTCCTGTGCAGTGGTAATCACCACTGTGACTATGGTTTGCTTGTGGGATGGAGAAGCTTGTATCCAAACGGGAATATTTCTTGGATTTTCCATTCTGGAAGAATGTAACTTTGACCAGAGGCTTGTCTTTCCAGCTGTGGCACCTCAGCATGATGGTTTCTCCCTCCTGGAACTCCAGCCTAGGGGTCTGGATCGCCAACCACTCAGAAAGCACAGCCAGATGCACAGGGTCACTGAGGCTGGTCTGGCTGGTCTGGCACCTGTATTCCCCGCTGTCATTGTTGTTGGCCTTGAAGCTGTAGCTGGGCTGTTTTTGGGTGGGGATGAGATTCCCATTGTGGAACCACTGAGTGGAGTTGCTCTCAGAGCTGTGCACCCCCTGGCACATCAGAATCACTGAGTCCTCCTGGAGCACGTTGATCCATGGGGGCTCGAGTTTCAGCACAGCCTTTGAGGGAGCTGCAGGTGTCCCAGCAACAGGAGCTAGGAATAGCACAGCTGTCCAGAGAAGCATGTGGCCCCAAGTCTGGGGGGACTTGCAGTCCAAAAGCAGCTATTTCAATCATTGGTGAGAGAATTGCTCTTAGTGAGAAAACCGTATTGTTTATTATATTTGTGTTTTATCAAACATTTTATTGGGTTACTTCAGTGTGAAATGATTGACCTTGTGAGACTAGTTTCTAGAAGAAGCTGGAATAACAGTATATTAAAAAGTAAGTATAATTACATTGCCTTAAAAAAAGAGAAAAAAAAACACACAAGAAGTATTAGCTAAAAAAAAAAATCTTAGAGAAATCCAAAGTTTATATGATGAAGTCATGGAGTGACTTCATGACAAAAAAAATTGCAGTGACATTTCAGTTCTACTTATATGTCTAACAATATTATAAAATGCAGCAATATACTGACATCAAATTATTGTTATTTGAATTCCCATATAATCAAAGACAATCATATTTACCTCACATCTAGGATTAGAATGCAGAAAAACGCCATTCACATACTGAATGCTTGTTCTGTTGAGTCACAGCTATAGTGTCTCATGTGACCTATGAGCAGCAGACAGTTGTTTCTGTGGGGTTGCACAATATGGCATGATAGGCAGAACTGTTAAAATCCATCATAATAAATTCTAATAGAAGCTCTTTGAATTTAAAACACTGTGACTGCACAGATAACCTTCTCTGTAAGTCTTAGTTTATTTAACCAGAAAATGAAGATTATAATGCTTACAGGTAGAATTAAATCAAATAAATTATGGGAAGCATCTTGTGCACTGCCTGGTACACATAGGGTATGTTCAAGTATAAGCTCCCTTTCCTCTTGCCTGCATAATCTAAAAACTGATATTCATTTATTTATCCTACATAGAGAAAAACATGATTCAAAAGACTCACGAAATTGCTACCTAATAAATGTAAGCTGGAGAAGTATTCTTCAATTTTTAAGAAAATTCAGTTGTATCTGGCATTAAAAAATCAGTGCCAAATATCCATTTAACTTGGTGCTGCATAAAGCCTCAGGTTATTTTTCTGAATGATCCCATAGTCATTGGACACTGATGCAATTTTCTTTGCAAATAAGAAATTTTGCCCTTGGATTAATGCAACTAATCAGTGTAAGTAACTGCCAGGAGGGACACACATAAAAGTAAATATAAAGCAGGCAAAGTACCTGGTAACCTGATGTCCTAGCTTACCTCCCTTTCTAAATAAAATAGATTCTAAATACACAGGCTTATATTGGCCTATTGCTCATTCTTTGTAAAATCGTGAGGAAGAAGCACTAAAAATAGATTCAGATCCTATTTATGTAGTTTCACTGTTAAATGGATATTTCACAAAATGTTGACTCTCCCTTATCTCTACTCTACACACACACACACACACACACACACAAAATGAAAAGAATAAGAAAGCCTCCTCTGCTAATATTTACCTGAGATTTTTTTTCTGACTATTAATTCAGCTTAGTTGACTTGAATGGATCATCAGTAGGTTAAGGTCATACAAGGGCACTCTAGATCTCTGCATATACTTACATCACTGTCAAGGAACAATAGATGTCCTCATGGAAAGTGACATTTTTGCTGTCTTGACTGTTTTTATTCTAAATTCAATTGTCTCTAGGACAGAAAAATGGTGTCTGATTTCTCACTACAGGAGAATATGTAATGTTAAATGTTTTATTGACAATTTTGTAGATTTCTGGTTAATTACCATTCTAAGGTAAACTAAACTTATAATATCATGTGTGTCCATTGGATCAAGACTCCCTGTAAAATGGAAACCTCTCTTTTTATTTGCGTAAAGGTTTATAGTGAAAAAACAATCATGGTAACACTATCCATATTGAAAATGCTATGCAACTAACCTAATACATTTTCTCCTCTGTATTTTTTGAAGTGTGATAATGAGTGTGTCTGCATGTGTGTGTGTTTAAATGCCTTGGCTTAGGCTTACTAAGCCTCCTTTAAACAAATAAAATTGGAAAATAAGAGCCACAGGAAATGTGAAAGAAATAATGAAAGTTATTATTGATGGGTTAGAAGAATTCACAATATACCTTCTGAATCCATGGTTTGACTTTTCCTGATATCATTCTCAGAGCTACTTGAAGAAATATAGTCTCCACATCTCACATACCATCTGCCTCACTGCAAACCAGGACTAAACACCTTCTCTGTTAGAACCATTCAATTCAGAACCAATTAGTTCACTTTTTCTCCCAGAGGCAATACTCCTTTATTATGTATTTTTGAAAACATAATATCTTCGATGGATATGTTTAAAATGAGATTGGGGTGAGTATTCACATTTATTATTTTCAGGTCTTCATCTAGCCGGTTCCTGCCTTGAATGCCAGAGAAGCACTTGACTCCCTCACCTCAAACTTAAGTCCTATTCAGAACCCTCTGTTCTTTTGTTGACACCCCATTGGATCATCTTCCTAGCATGCAAGCCCTTCTGCCTCCCATTATTGACTTTTAAACATTTAGGATTCCAACTAATTAAAATAGGAAGTTTTATTTGTCCTGTATATTGATTAATTTTACACACACATTGCTTGAATAATACTTTCCTTCCTACATAGATTTTTTTGGAACATTTCTCAAATTTAAAAAATTTCCTAATAATGTAACTTATGTGCGTTTTTCTTTAATGTGAAAGAAATCAAGCCTGTTTTCTGACTTTTGTCTGGCCCAATGAATAAAACCATGTTTGACTCTGCACTCTAATTAATGGAGTTCATTTTCCGGCCATGTCTCTATTGGCAGCCCAGGAAGGATCAGAGCCAAATTTCTGAGGTTGATTGTTCATTGCATAGCATGCACACACACACACACACACACACACACACACATTCATATACACACACACAGCATCAACAAATCAGTTTTAAGGTGGTTGTATTGGAACAGCTTCATTGCAAATGATAATTTCTTCCTTCCTGCTCTTCAAAAGCTCTACCTTAAGTTATGTTTAGGAATAAAAACTTGCTCCTGAGCTCTCATGTGCAATCAGAAGAGATACTGAAAACTTGCAGTATACCTCCTCTTACTTACCCAGATATTGTTCTGAATAATTTTGGACTAAACTAAAACCTATAGATGGCAAGGAACAGGGTGATGGTGAAGAGAGCAGGCTTAGCAATGGACAAGATTTGCTCATAGTTCAACTGTTTTTAGCTATGTGACAAGGGCTATTATTCAACCTTTATAAATATCAGCTCTCCTATCTAAAAAATGGGAAAAGTTTTGTGCCTACTGCATAGTGCAGTTGTATAGATTAAATGAGATTAGCAGTATCTAAGTACTCAATAAACAGTAGTTGATATTTTATTGTTACTGTTATCATTGCTGAAGTTTTAGTTTTATTTTTAAGATGAAGACAAGGACTATAATTGTTTATTGTTTAAAACTGGCTAAAAGCGATTGTCAGTCCCATCTAACTTGGGAGATATTTTAGCTCCCAGAATCTCTGAAATATTTATAGCAGCTAGGGAAATTCTATCCAGGCCTTCTAGTAGACAGGAGCAGAGCTCAATACCTCTCTGACAGACACCATAGCCTGGGATTCTTTTTGTATTTGTTGTTAATTTGAAAAAGGCTATATCCTATTTAAGAAAAGAAATAGTTAATTAATTTTAAAACATTAATTTAAAACATTAATTCTCTCAGCAAAAATGTTTTCGGGATATTACAGCTGAGTCAAAACTTCAGTAAATGCATTACTTGAATCAGAATCAAAGATAATACATAATCTTGGGGAAAAACACCTCAGATAACTGTATGGAACAGTGTTTCTGCAGCAACGTGGATAAATGTATAAGCAAACTTGTATCCCTGAAAGCTTCCAAAGTCACTGAATTCAGGTGATATGTCTTCAGATACAATGGTACAGAAGAATGGCTTGCAAGAGTTCAATGTAGTCTTGTGCACAAAAGTTTGGAATTAAAAGAATATATCAACAGGCACAAGTTTCAAAACATATAGAGAGACTTCTGAGATACACCATTGTAATTATTGGCTCTTCCCAGAGGCTATTCAGAACGTAATCATGTGAAATTGAATGCTCCTGAAATTTCCTTCTCTTCAAAGCAAAGATTTGAAATGTGTCTTTTCTTATTTATTCTCAGTTTTCCAAAATCCTTCTGTCTCTGGCGTTATCAAATTTAAAGTTTTAAAATATCAAAAATATCATAGAATTTAATTATAAAATGATAAAATAATGTGTTCCATTTTAAGTGCAAACAGGATAAAAAAGAGAATGATCCAACTAAAATTTATCCTACACTTCAGTGTGTAAACTCAAGAAACATGGCAATAACTTACTTATTTTGAATTCCTAAGCAACAGAATTTTTTAGTACTATACTTCTCTGTCCCCTGTTTTCTTACCTTTAGCCAGAGTTCTAAAACTTAAGTACAATCAAGAGGTATATTTTAAACTGTATTCGAATCTGGAGACTATTAGGAAATTCAAATTTTATCTTCCATAATAACTTTGATTCACTATCTCTTTCAGAAATTCAAGATATTATCTCTATAATCTAAATAACACATTGTTATGTAAACTATTAACTCAAGAATGGTCATTTATAAAAAGTAATAAATAATAAAATGAAGTACTAGGTTTTATGCATTTTAAAAATTGGTCAATATTTTCAGCCTTAAAGGAAAGGTTTGTACTTTAAAGAACCTGTTGCTGATCAATAAAACATTCACACTCTGCATCAATTACTGCCATCGTTAACATTTTCATTCTAATAAAAGAGATATTTAAACAGGTTTTATTTTTCTTAAGCAACAAGACTTAGAGGTACCTGTCAAATAGTACTGTGAAATAATTAACTCGTATCACTGATCTAGGTCAGACTGAAAATCTTTAACAAAATAGTAATAACTCAAGACCATGGATTTGAAGAAGTAACATTTAACATTTGATAAAACTTGACATTTGGGCATAGATAATAAGATTTAAAATACTTTTAAATTGGTGGCTTTTCTTTCCAATAGCAGCAGGAAGTGGTCCTCCGTGGTGTCATCTGGACTTTAGACCTACAATCATATTTGGGAAAAAAATCCATTTCCTTTATGCAGTTTGTTCAGGACTCCACAATATTAGATAAAGTCCAATCTTTTGGAAGAAAAAATGTTTTGTGAGTGAAGATGAGGAAGAGCGAACATAAATGACATTTAAAATTTTCAAGTGTCAGCCTGGTGCAGTGGCTCATGCCTGTAATCCCAGCACTTTGGGAGGCTGAGGCGGCCGGATTGCCTGAGGTCAGGAGTTCGAGATTAGCCTGACCAACATAGAGAAACCCTGTCTCTACTAAAAATACAAAATTAGCCAGATGTGGTGGCACGTGCCTGTAATCCCAGCTACTCTGGAGGCTGAGGCAGGAGAATCACTTAACTCAGGAGGTGGAGGTTGCAGTGAGTCGAGATCTAGTGATTGCACTCCAGCCTGGGCAATAAGAGCAAAACTCTGTCTAAAAAAATAAATAAATAAATAAAAAAGGAAGGAAAAAAAAGAGTTTCAAGTGTCGAGCTTCATGGCTCTTCTCATTTCCCTTCTCTTGTGTTTGACCTAGGTTTTCTCCATGAACAGTCTTCTATCACTGGCTCTGTTCACAGCATGAACTCAGTAATTTCAAAACTCAATATTTTCCTCTGGGGCCAATACACACTCGGATTTTATCTTCTGGCCTCAATTATTTGTGGGTTTTGACTACTTGAGGAAAGAATAAGAAAGTAAATTCAATACACTTTGCAAAACATTTTTATAAAGGATGTACATTCATTTCAATCCTGTTTTCTTATCAGATCTTCTTGAAACAAGTGTAATCATTGATCTTAAAACAGTAATACCCTTTTGAAACTCCAGAAGACTGTAGGCAAGCTAGTGAAAACTGCCTGAAGAATATCTGGCTGGCTCCTCCATCTGAACCACATGACTGTTGACAAGTCTTATCTTTTTGACTTACACATATACACACTCACAAGAACAATCACAAGGGTGCACACACTTTCAAAACCATAGGGATACCTAGCCATGGGAATCTGTTTATACATCCTGTAGATCACACACACATGCATGCACAATCTGCTTCCCTATATGGAGATTTGAAAAGTTAGGCTTACTATTATCCCTTAAAAGACGTGTAAATTAAATAAGTTAGATAACAAAATAAAACAAGAAAGAAATGTACTTGACATTCTTTGTTCAGCAGCTCAACCAAATTCAGCGTGAGGTGCTGGAGTCTTGTTTGTGCATGATGTGGATGAATCATCATCACTGAGAATTTACCAATTACTTACTGAGAACATGGCATTATTGCAAATTAGTTTTCTTCAGGCTGTGGTTCCTTAAGCGAACCTTTAAAAGTATCACAAACAAACAAAAATAAACAAAATAATATTTACTCAAAAAATTCTACTTAATCTAAAAAAGTTGATCTCATGGCAGTAGCAAGTAGAATGGTGGTTACCAGAGGCTGGGAAAGGGGCAATGAAGAGAGGTTGGTTAATGGTAGGAAAAATACAGTTAGACAGAATAAATAATTTCGGCTGCTTGATAGCACAGTAAGCTGCCTATAGATATCAATAATGTATTATATATTTCAAAATAGCTGAAACAGAAGATGGGGAACGTTCTCAACACAAGGAAATGATAAATGTTTGAGGTGATGGATATTCTAATTACCCTGATTTGAACACTACACATTGTGTACATTGTATGCATTTTTCAAAACATCACATCTAACTCATAAATATATATGATCATCATTATGCATCAATAAGAAATGTTTTGCCAGAAGAATTTCAATTTAGAATCGTAATGCCTTGCCTTTTAAAGAAAATCTCAAAAATTTAAAATCAATTTATAAGTCTTCTGTTCTCATTGGTACAAATAAAGTAACAGTTTTGAAAACATGTTTCTACTATACCACAACTCTATGAATAAAATTTATACAGAGATATATATTTACAATAAATTTGTCATTATCTTTAGGTCAGAAGCTTCTGGCTTCATATTGCCAACTTTGGAGCAACTATTAGTCTTATTTCTTCTGACAGATAATTAGCTCATGTTGAATGCTAGAAAATAGTGTATTGTCAGCATAGTCAAAGACATTTTATAGATTGTGAAGATGGATTACGATTTGCCATTACATATTTACATTAATTAGATCTACAATTTTTTTCTTAGTGTGAAGTTAGTCATATATGAGGAGGCAGAGTATGTTAATTGGCAGAGTCCCTGTCTTTCCAAAATGGAATAGCTGGAACTTAAAAGCAGAGAGAAAAACAACTGCCTTGTTGAATATTCTAATTTGGTAGGTTTTTGTTTATTTGCTTGCTTACATTTTTCTTAGAGACAGGGTCTTGTTCTGGCACTCTGGCTGGAGTGTAGTGGTACCATCCTAGCTCTCTGCAGCCTTGGAGTCCTAAGCTCAAGTGATTCTCCTGCCCCAGCTTCCTGAATAGCTAGGACTACAAGCACATGCCACCATAGTTGGCTAATATTTTATTTTTATTTTTTGTAGAGATACATCTAATTATCTTGCCCAGGCTGGTCTCAAATTCCTGGGCTCAAGTGATCCCCCTGTCTCTGCCTCCCAAAGTGCTGGGAGTACATGCATGTTTTATTTTACATAGAAGATAATAGATTTTTCCATGTTTAATAAATTAAATTAAAACAAGATCACTTTTCTTATGTTAGGCTAACTTATACAACATATCCTCAAACATATTTTTTGTCAATATATAAATGTACAAATAAATACCATGTTGATATACATTTAATATGGTGTGTACATACAATTAATATATGTTGATATACATATTAATATAATTAAGGTTTATAGGATAGGAAAACCCTTACTTTGACATATCAGAAGAAGCTCTTTAACCTTTCCTTACTAGTCTTCAAGAAAAAGATAGCTACTCATTTTGTTTGCAGCAGAGTTGTTTCATGCTTATAAACATATGGGATATTACAACTATGATTGCCTAATTTTCTAGAAAACTGAAGCCTAAAGTGTCCACCTTATCTACTCCCAAGTTCATAGTATCTACCTCTCCTTAGCTAAGCAGTGCGTTGGAAAGCAGTGGAAGGAAAAAATGATGCCAGGCTTTCTCCCTGTGGCCTGGATGAAAGCCTAGGGCCCACTATTGAGAAGCTTCAGAGCCCAGACCAAAAATGTGTACATACTGGGAGCAGGTACACCTACATGAATTTAGAAACTTAAGTTGAAGCCCAATTGTCTTAGTCTGTTCTCACACTGCTATAAAGAACTACCGAGACTGCACCATTTATAAAGAAAAGATAATTGGCTCACTTTTCTGCAGGTTTACAGGAAGCATGGGTGGGTAGGCCTCAGGAAATCTTCAATCACGGCGGAAGGTGAAGGGGAAGCAGGCATGTCTCACGTGACTGCAGCAGGAGGAAGAAAGTGAGAGCGAGGTGGGAGGGGCCACACACTTTTAAACAACTAGATCTCCTAAAACTCACTATCCTGAGAACAGCAGGGGAAAAATTTTCCCCATGATTTAATCATCTCCCACCAAGCCTTACCTCCAACATTGGGAATTATAATTCAACATGAGATTTCGATGGGGACACAGAGCCAAACCATATCACCAAAGTTGGTTGCACCCAAGTGTGAAGGCTTTGTGGAACACACACACCCACACCCACACCCACACACACACACACACACACACACACACACAGGTAGAGAAGGAGAGAGAGAAAGCCACTATTAATCTGTAATGATCCAGAGGAATTCTAGGTATAAGAGTGTTTGGATTGCGCCAAAGATAACAAATTTTTCATTCACAACCTTATGTGCCAGGGCTGCTGTGACTGCTAACACGTGCCACACAGTTTCATGGGAAGAAACAATGCCTCTTTGCCAGAGCCCAGTTATCAAATTAGTATTATAATATTGTCAGCCATCCCACAAATCTTACAACATCCAGCTGAAATCGAGATCGCATTTTTTTCTCCTATACTGTAAGTAAAACTGTGTAATTACATATGGTTCTATGAATTATCTTTTACTATCAACTTCTATAATCTCCAAACCTCAAGTTAAATAATTCAAGATTATAAGCTCAAGTAACATAATATATAAAAATTAATGTATTACTAATTTTAAAGTATTCCTGACAGAGAGGCTGATGTAAACGAGCTACTTTTACCATGCCTTTTTGCCAACTGTACTGTCTGAAGATGCTGGCCAAAGTTTGAAAGCTCTTTTAATGCAGAACTCCCTCAGATGTTCTTTTATGATAAAGAATAAAGGAGAAAGCAGAAAAGCTTTGTATCTGTGGTAATGAAGGAAGGTCAGAAACCATAACATATAGATTTTTGGAAAAGAGTCAGAACTTTTTAGAGAGAAAAGATAAAGATTATTAGCAACACTGACCTTGCAATTCACTGTAATCATTCCTAGGCTAAACTGAAGCCTTTGTGGAACAAATAACACGTTGACCCCCAAAATAATCTCATTATGACTATGAACAATACGAAAGTACTGAGGCAGAAATGACAATGGGTTTTTAAATTACAGCAGCAACATCAGACTCACATGAACTCTAAGCAGAACCTCCTCCATGTTTTACTGCTTTTGATCATGGGGGATTATAAAAACTATACTTTTCTTGTTTGCGTTTTCACTATACTGATCATATATTATCATCGTTTGAGAGTGACAGGAATGCTTTTATTATTATGAT